ACTGTGTTAGGGTGAGGTGAATTGCACTTGGAAACTGAGGAGAGAAATGCTTAGTATGTAGGAGATTAGAATGACGACTCGTATATGCACATATGCATTTACACAGATAAATGCCACCTTTTCTATCTATGCCTGGAAGCCCTCCTGGAACAGGCTTCCTCCAGCAAGCTTCATTTAGCTCTTATATATAGCAGAAAGTTTAGTAACTTAGAGGTCAGAAATGACCACAAATAGATCCTTAAACCACCTGTCAGCTCTTTCTGCCACTCATACAAATGAATTATTTATTTGACAGTATATATATCATTCATACTTTGTACCAGTGATGCTCCCAAAGGACTAAGTAGAAGCCCTTCAAATCTGAGAAAACCTATCCTGTTTTATTGCTTGTGGTGTGGTATGCCCACATAGCTTACGAGATGCAGGTTCTGCTGTTAAAGAAATCTGTGCCCCTCTTTGGTTGAGGTAAGTGCTGGTGCACACATTCTTACTTCATGCCAACTGTGAAGTAAACGTTAGCTTAAAATAATTGAATAGTTATTAAGCTGCAATAACTAGATGAATTTTTGACTATGTGACTATACCAAATACACGTATGCTTTAACTGCAGCAGGTGATAGTCTAATTTTATTATTTGCAGATCTTTGTGTTTATGTCCCAAAACCTCCTAGCTTGTTACAAGCTGTTTCTTAAATTAGTTAATTTGGTAGTGCACAGTCAGACTACAAGTGACTTTAAGAAAAGCGAAAAAGTATATTCTATAAACTCAACAGAATGAGAAAGCCAGTTATTGGCTACTGCAGGCAAATTTTTATTGTGTATTTGTGGCAAACAAAGCTGGTAGGAGCAGGTCTGACACACCCAATGTAATCAAAGTGCCCTAGAGTCAAACTCCTGGTTTCAGGTGAAACTGTTTTCTTCCCAGTTGTTAATCACAGATGGCTGATAAACTTGATTTTCAGTGGCACGCGAGTCTTCTCCTTCATCACTTTTTTGTCTTCTGCTGTGGGTTTCACAATGCTTTTCAATCACAGTACTAGGTATACTTGTGCAATTTGAGAAAAATGAGAGCTACATAAAGGAGCTCTCTTGCCCTGTGAAGGCATTGAGCAGCTGTGCAAGGCACTAAAAGATAGCTGAATGTGCTTATTCGCTGGGGTTTCAGGGTAGAGGCAAGATCAATAAAATCTTTTAAACATCAGGTTTGGGATGAAAATAAAAATTTAGGGTTATTTTTAGTTCTTGACTGCTCTCTTATTCTACGGTAATTATTTAAAATGCTTCGGTTTCAGGGTTTAAAACCATAATACTGTATTGTATTGAATACCCTTTAACCGTCCTTGCCAATACCATGGTGTTTCTCTTTTCTCTTCCTTAAAATATGAATTATTTGTCTATTTTGCTTCAGACCACCACAGAATCGGCTCTGATGCTGCGTTCCCTGTGATGTTCAGACCCCAGCCTCGATTACGGCCACTCGAACCAAAGCACCACCAGGAAGAGCTGATTCCAATGGCACACTTGGACAGAGGAGCGGGCCCATCCAATCTGTCAGGTCGAAGAGGAAATTCAATCAGTCGGCATCATTTCACCAGAGCAGGCAATCTAGCTCTGATGCCAAAGTCTCGATTCGCTGTGGCAGAAGTACAGGAGTATGAGTCAGAAGAAGAGACAGAACCGATGGCACCAGCCAGGCCATTAGACATATGAGGAGCAGAGAGGAGCAATGTTTGCATCTCTAGGGCCCTTTGTGCACTGCTCTAGAGAAAATAACAAAGCTCTTATAGGAGCCAAACCACAATTTTCCTTTTGGGACCAGTGCACTTGTTGTCGTATCACTTTCAAGCGCTGTATCAAGGTACTTAGTGGCTCAGAGAAGACTCAAATTCTTATATGTTTGTATCAAGCTTTCTTT